ATACAAATCTACAATACAATGTCTAAAACAACCTGCAAAAAACACTGCAAGTTAATGCTAAATTTATCATTAAAAACTGTTGTCTGTTAATTTATTACATAATTCTTATTGTAATAGTTGTTATTAAAACAGGAGTTTTTGTCTCAAGCCTGAGTGCATTTTATGAGTCTAAGAACTCAATTCAGTTCTGAGTTAATTATTAGTTGGTCTACATCAAATAGAGGGTTTTGTTATATTTACATGAAACTAATAAATATTAATGGCTGTGTACTCAAATTTAAAATTATGGTGAACTTTTTGGGCGTGTAATTACTTGCCTGGTGGCACACAGACACCTGGAAAATACATAAATATTACATAAATACATATTTTAAAATGGCTGGTCTTTTTTCTAAAAGTAAACCTGCAATACTGATACATTTAAGACAGTGTTTTCCTTTATTGTATAAAACATTGCATAATAACTTTATTATTGGTATTAATGGATATATTAATGACATGAACATAACCTGACAATAATCACGGATGTCATGTTGGCCAGAGTTGCGAGTTTGAGTCCTGCCCCTGGTCTGTATGTATGGCGTTTGCATTGCATGCATATCCTGTATGTACAGTGTATCCCCCCCATGCTGCCTCGGATAGGTTCCAGGGCCCAACAAGCAAGTTCAGGGTGAGTGGTAGGAAGAAGGATTCTATAATAGTTACTTATTTTAAAGTGTACATGTACTTAATAACTGTATTAAGATATTGCTGATTCTATTCTTTTGTTTATTTGAACACAAAAGTAGTAGGGCTATATTTTAAAGTAATATTTTGTTTTCTGGCAGTGCAACTATGTACAGGTTAAGCAGTTACTGGAGATAAATGCATGGATACATGAATAAGTAAATGTTTTGCAGGGTTGGTTAATATACATTACCTGTTCTACTGCAGCTGCAGATCTCCAGCACTATACAGTATATGTGCTATCAATACGTCTCTAGAAAAAAAATCAAATTATAATCATAGAAATTACAGTACAGCACAAATATTAAAGGCTGTCACCTAAATGTTTAAAAGTTTTTGTTAAATTAATATGTTGTTAAAAACTTAAGAGTAAAAAAAATATATGCATGATACTCACTGGAAGTCGAAGACAACAAATATTACTTGTAAATCTCCCTTCAAAGCTATTCTTTTCAGGTTAAGGTTAATGGTGATCAGTTGCCCTTTTATACATTATTCTCTGTAATGAAAAAACAGGGAAACAAAGATGATTGGATCTCCTGACTCACGTCACTGGCCCCCAGATGCTAACAGCCATAATCAAGGGATTGTCCTTAGCACATATTCTTTGCTAGTTTAACTTAGGAGGTGTAGCCGTTTACATTTTTTTGTATTTCGTATTTTCCATTTTAAATACACAAACCCTTTATTACAGGGGTATTCAACTAAAATTTAAAGAGGTCCAGTTACAGAAAAATTCTTGAAGCAAAGGTCTGGAAGATTATAATGTCTAACTATTTAATAGTGTGATATATACTGTATTTAAGCAGCCTATTAGTTGCATCAACATTGTATGTAATCAGTACCTGACTGTCAAATCAAATTAATTCAGTACAATTCAAAAACGTTTTGATATTATTTATTGTCACGTGACATAGAACTTCGGCCAGCTGGCTGGAGTTGGATTTTCAATTCGAGATGTCTGCACACATGTAACGGTTCTTACCTTGTAAATAGTCTGCTTTTGTATTTAACCGTGTAAATACACTTTTGACGTAACTAATAGGTTTTATAATGGAATAATATAGATTTGCCGTAAGATTTCCAGCATGAGTCTGAAAGCGTGAGTGTCATGCCAGATGCTTGAGATTTGGCAACCCTGAAAACGTTGGGTTACGGATGTAACCTTGGTTCTGTGAAGGAAAGAAAGGCTGCCAGACGGCTAGCCCAGAGGGCTGGAATATAATCCACGCATGCGCGAGTTCTGAGGTAGACCTATAACAAAACATTACATTACATGTGAGTGTGCAACGTCACTGGATATAACTGTGAGCGTGGCACACGATCGTCCTCATA